AATATACCTATATTTTATATGTATATATTTATATTATATTTTTCATAGGTACATTATTGGATATGTAATTTACAGATTTTTTGTTTGTTTGTAATTTTAGGGGGCGAGATGTGAGAGGGAATGACAACTAAAAGAAATGGGGTGATTGATATGCTATTAATAGGGAGTATATTAATTACAATTATGGCAGTTAATGAAATGCTTGAAATAAATTATAAATAAAATATGAAGTTTAGTGGCAATGATGTAAAAACATAGAAATACTACGACCTCTTATATCCTACTAGTCATTAAAATTTGAAATTGGGTTTTACACATAGATTTATAGAGTGATGGGTATATGTCTAGAAAATAGAAAATATAGGGATCTATATTGGACCTAAATTTAATTTAGTAAGTTGACCGAGAGCATTATATATATATAGTTGTGTGTTGTAGGTATGGACTGCTTCTTGCGACAACATCAATTTCATCTCTTTATTAGTTTTTTAGGATTATAATATATGTGGATGGAGAAATGACTCCTAACATATAAGGGACCAGGGACCAAATACTTTTAAACGAGGATGTGACAAACGACAATTCTAGATCCAACGACTTATTCTACACATTTGAATTGAAAAGTGACATATATATCCCAATTGATATAGAGTGCTGCTAAATAAACTCTAAAATTAACTAAATACACTAAATATGTATATATATATATATAAATATATAAATATGAGTAAATAGACCACACTCAGGAGGTGTTGGTCAAAAACCCTCCGGTAACTAAGTTAATTCAATTGGATCTTTGAAAAAAGATACGGCAATAGCTAAAATAGATGAGGTTTTCTCTTACGGGGAGAGTTGGGTGACAGGAGCTGTGTGTGGTGGCACTTAGCCATGTGGGAGAGAGGAAAGAAGGAGTGGCAATGGCAAAGAAAGAGAGAGGGGATTTTTGTCAGGTTTTGGAATTACTTTGAATGTCATGTGTGACTATGTATTTATAATCTCCTTGTGAGCTGGAATTTTAGGAGAATAATCTTGACTTGATTAGGATTATGTCTCTTAATGTAATTTTTTCCAGCCCAACTCAAACAAATTAGTTTTGAGCTCTATCATCGTGGATTGAAGTCACAGTTGTTCTTAATTAGTAAATAAAAATAAGAATAAATGACCTTCGGTTCAGAGCGGGGCCCATATTTGAATCAATCAGAGAGGCTAGAGGCATATTAATTGGTGGAGATACTTAATGTGGCATTCATTTTAGCACAAAAACAAGTAATTATTAGAGGCATATTTTTTCTGTAGCTATCCATATGATATCATGTGCTAGCTAGCTGGCTCAAGAGAGTCGTTGCTTCTTCCTGATCAGGTGGAATGGTGGTCTTGATCATGGCTTAGTCGATTTTTTATTGTTTAAAAAAACATTTTAGTATAACTATTCCAAAAAAATTAATAAAAAGAGTTGAAAAATTAAAAAATTCTATCGCCTTTTCATCAAGCACGGCAAACATGAATGCATGTCCCAAATCATGTATATCACTTTTTAAATTGATGATAACTTTGGAAAAAGAAAAAGATTAATGATTCTTTTCCTTTTTTTTTTCTTTGAGGGGAGACCATATTATAAAGGAATTACGATGATTACGGAAAGTGTTAGAAATCAACGTTATATATAACTTGGACATTTTGAATACAAGCCAGCCAATTACAGAAGTATTGCTTGCATTGCACGCTTTTATTTTACGAGGCACTCACTCAAACTGTAACAAACTGAAATTCAAATCAACGACCATGATCGTAAGGCTCTACTGCAATTGAAGCACTATCACCAACTTCACCTCTAACATCCAAAACGTAATCATAATAATTAGCAGCAGGTGACCCGAGCAAGTGGTCCGTATCTTCGGAAGACCGTTGGATATCATCAACCTTTTCCCCAGCCGTATTCTTTCCCATAATTTGCACTAATCCCAGGAGCTCCACGGCTACTTCATTCATGGGAGGCCTTTCTTCACCTCTTAACGCTATACATTTTTTTGCCAGATTGGCAACTTTTTCTACGATTGTCTCGAAATTATGTTCCTCCTTAACTACATCTGCATCAAGAATTTCAGCTAGCCGGCCCTCTTTCATTGCGCAAACAAAGACGTTTGCTAGGTTTTCTGCCTCATTTTTTCTCTTGATTAGTGCCTTTTTGCCTGTGAGTAGCTCCGCTAGGACAACTCCAAAGCTATAAACATCACTCTTATCTGTTAGAATGTGTGACTGAAGATATTCAGGGTCCAAGTAACCAAGCGTCCCTTGCACCAAAGTTGCTAGTTGATTTTGATCTTCCAGAACCAACCGTGAAGCCCCAAAGTCTGCTACTTTAGCCACATAATTCTTGTCCAATAGTATATTCATTGCTTTCACATCTCGGTGTATTATTGGATTAGAAATGGAGTGGTGCAAGTACGAGAGAGCTTCTGCAGTACCTGATGCTATCTTCAACCGCGATTCCAACGAAAGTTTTTCTTTTCCATCTTTTCCATGAAGGTGATCATAAAGAGTGCCATTGGAGATGAACTCATAAACGAGAATAGGTGTTTGGGTCTCTAAACAACAACCAAGGAGCTTCACAACATTTTTATGGTTGATTTGAGATAGAAGAATCACCTCGTTAGCAAACTCCAAGCTGTCAGTAATTGGGGCACTGACTTTGGACATTTTTATGGCAACCTCTCTTTTATCTGCAGGCAATATACCTTTGTAAACTAGTCCAGACCCTCCTTCACCAATCTTTCTCTTTTCATCGTAATGGTCTGTCATCTTCTTCAGATCTTCTTCAGAAAAGATTGAGGCTGTCTCTATGGATCCATTGTATCGAGTCAGTTGTTGTCGTAAAAGTAAGCCCCCATTTTGTTTAAAGAACTTTTCTTGTTGTTTCTTGAACTTTCTTCTCTTGACTCCGCAATATATCCAAAAGACTAAAACCAGTAAAACTAAGAAGCTCAGACAGACACCTGCAAAATCCAAGTCAAACTTGCTTTTTATAGATGACATGGTGGGACTATGATCACAATGAAATTGATTATTCAATTTTTTTTAAAATTATATTATTACTGGTCAAATAAAAGCAGCTTATTGTTATTTTCTTAGACAAACGTGTTGACCTATTTATGAACAAGTGTATAACATGCATGTATGCCTGTTAATTACAATACATATTCTATGTAAATAGCAGCTGGCAATATGAAATTAACTAGCATACCCAATGAAATTTTGAGGGCAGTGTTCTTTGTTCCGGGTATGCAAGTCTTGGGGTCGTGGTTTCTGTACCCACTATTACATTTACAATAGTAACTTCCATCTAGATTATGGCAAGTTCCATTGTCGCAGGGGTTTGAAGTCTCGCACTCATCAATATCTGAAACGGAAAGAAAAATAATCCCATGTCAAGCAATAAAATTGGGTAAGAATCAAGTTAATGATCCATTGGATTTGATATTGTTATCCAAAGCGCACTCATCAATATCTGAAAGAAATAAGAAAAATACATATATAGATATATATATCACGTATCAATTAAGAAGAATCCCCAATTCTGAGCAACAATAATTAACTAGCACACGCACAAACATATGTTTATTGCAGTACACTAATTTTCTCGTGTTGTGAGACTAGGATATTGTCAAACTCAGACTGTGTGTGGTCAAGATTTACAATCTAG